CTCAAGTTCTTAGCGCAGGGTCTGGAAAGTATTAATAATCGTTGAATAAATAAACCCAGGCAGATTATGTGACTTGCCCAAGGTCATATAAATAATAGGTGAAGAAGAGGAGGGTCAAACCCAGGTCTTTCTGACTCCAAAACACCTGCTCTTCCACTCCAATTGCTTTTTGTGGGCCTGCCTAACCAAACATCTTTCTTTTTTATTCCCCACCCCAAGGACTGAGGAGGAGAAGAAAGACTGGGTCCAGGTAACATCCAAGGCTCTGTGGTAGGGGGCTAGAAGAGTATTAACAATCTCCTAGGGGTTGATGGATTCTCCCTCAAAACTCACGTCTAACCAGAATGGTCCCAGACACCTTTCAACAAACTTTACTATCCCCATTTTACAGATAAGCAAACTGAGGTGCAGAGGTTCAGCAGAAACTCACAAACTCTTCTTTTAGGAAGCTGATTTCTCTGAGGGTGTGTAAGGTGAGGGTGTCAAGCTCTGTAAAATCTTAAGCCCAGAAGGTGGCCAAGAAAGCCACCTGAGGTTTTTCAGCCACCACTCCCCCTCCCCCATTTTACACTTGTAACACTGAGACCTGGATTTGGGAGGGGATTTGTTCAGTCATCCACCTACCAGCGACAGAGCTGGGTCTGAAACCCAGCTTTTCTAAGTTCAGGCTAGGGTATAGGAAGGTGAGGTGAAGGTAGAAATGGGTGGTTTGTGGGGTGATCTGACTTCTCATTTCTTAAACCTCCTCCCCAGGCCATCAACTCCACCCTCCTGAAGCACGAACAGACGCTGGAGACCTTCAAACTGTTGAACTCAACAAACAGGGAAGATGAAGACACCCCGCCCAACTCTCCAGTAAGAGTCCCTGCCCTCTTTCCCCTGTACTGGGACCCCTTCCAGACTTTCAAATCCCCACCTGACCTTTAGATGATCCTCTCCCCTTCCCAGAGGGTAATGACCAGAGAGGCAATGCATGACCTCAGAAGCAGTCTTCCATTGGTAGGGCCACAGAGAAATCATTGGGGAAACTGAGGCCCAGAAAGTATAATAGAAATGACTTGTCTTCAGTAGCACAGTAGCTAGGAGCAGAGCCAGGACTTAAAGGCAGGTCTTCTGAATGTGGCTGCTCCCCCTACCCCCAGCCCATCCCCACCCCATGATAATCCAAGCCTTGGAGGAGGAACAAGGGCTGGCTGGACTGGGTTGGGGAGTAGCTGTCTCTGACCTGAGACCTGGCCCTCCCCACAGAACGTGGATCTTGGGAAGCGGGCACCTACACCCATCCGGGAAAAGGAAGTCACCATGTGCATGCGCTGCCAGGAGCCCTTCAATTCTATCACCAAACGCAGGCACCACTGCAAGGCCTGCGGGCATGTGAGTGTTGGGAGGCAGGGGCAGAGCTAGGGAGGGGACAGCCTGGCAGCCCAAAGGCCCACTGCAGAGTGGGTACCCTCCAAGTGGTGGGAGGCCGCAAGTCTGCTGTGGGAGTTGGTATGCTGAAGGGAAGAGCCGCTGGAATCAGGCTGCTCTTGCCCACTTGCCACCCCAGGTGGTTTGTGGGAAGTGCTCCGAGTTCCGGGCCCGCCTCGTCTATGACAACAACCGCTCCAACCGTGTGTGCACTGATTGCTATGTGGCCTTGCACGGGGTGCCTGGGAGCAGTCCAGCCTGCAGCCAGCACACACCCCAGCGCCGGAGGTCCATCCTGGAGGTAAGAGCCAGGCCCCTGACTAAGTCTCCCACAGTGGGCAAATGGGCTCCAACTCTACCCAGTGAGACTGAGGAGGTCCGAGTAGCTGGGAAACAGTAGTGATCAAGGGACCCAGGCTTGGAGTGAGTAAAATGAGGACAAGAGCGAATGAAAGACAGTCATCTTTAAGTACTTAGACATTTAATCCCCACAGTAACTAATCTGCTCATGCTATTGTTCTCTTTTACAAACGAGGAAACTGAGGCCCAGAGGGGTCATTTGCCCAAATTACACAGCAAATAAGTGGCAGCACTGGATTTTTTTTTTTTTTTAATTAAAAAATTGGCCGGGCGTGGTGGCTCATGCCTGTAATCCCAGAACTTTGGGAGGCTGAGGCAGGCGGATCATCTGAGGTTGGGAGTTCAGGACCAGCCTGACCAACGTGGAGAAACCTCGTCTCTACTAAAAACACAAAACTAGCCAGGCAAGGTGGCACATGCCTGTAATCCCAGCTACTCGGGAAGGCTGAGGCAGGCGAATTGCTTGAACCTGGGAAGCGGAGGTTGCAGTGAGCCAAGATCGCGCCATTGTACTCCAGCCTGGGCAACAAGAGCGAAACTTCGTCTCAAAAAAAAAAAAAAAAAAAAAAAAAAAAAAATTAAAAATTGTCTTCTGTTACTACAAAGTAGGGTAAGTAAAACAATATAAACAAAAAATAATAAAATACCATATCCCTTCTACCCAAAAGTTAACCACTGTTAGGGCTTATCCTATCTTTCTAGGCATATATGCACAAACACACATTTTGGAGGTTTTTTAAAAATAAATCTAGGTATTTATTTAACACTTAAAAGAGTACTTACCCTGTGCCAGGAACTATTCTAAGCACTTTGCATATATTAATTCATTTAATTCTCACATCAGCCCTCTTTGCTCTCCTTCCAAGTCAATACATTTTCATCTAGAGCTGGGATTCTAAGCCAGAATTCATTAACCACCCACATACCCCCTTAAAACCACAATGCTAGATTACCTCTCACTGAGTGTAGAAAATGGATGAGTGATGAAAGACAGAAGAAAACATGAGGCCTAAGTGTGTGAATGGCTTGAGGAATGAATGCCCTGACTGAAGAAAGAATGCCTGACTGAGATCTACACACTCCTTCCACTGGCCAGTAGAGGCAGCAGCCGTTGCCCAAATGAGGCAGACAAACCTAGCTTTGAATCTTAGCTCTAGCTGATTCACTGGGTGGCACTGGACAAATCACTCCTGCCACCTGAGCTTGAGCGTCTTCATCTGAGATGGGAATAGCAGTCCCTACACTGAGGAGGCATTAAAGCCAGGAGGAGCCAGGCTAGGCCTCCTGTCAACATCGATGTCCCGTGTCTCTGGCCACAGAAACAGGCCTCGGTGGCTGCGGAGAACAGCGTCATCTGCAGCTTCCTGCACTACATGGAGAAGGGTGGCAAAGGATGGCACAAGGCATGGTTCGTGGTCCCTGAAAATGAACCTTTGGTGCTGTATATCTACGGAGCCCCTCAGGTATGCATCCTACTCCTTTGGGTCCTTTCAGCCACCTGGCAAAGCCAGGGTACCCCCTTACCTCCAGTCATTGACCTCTCCTTGGCTTTGGAAGATAAGGTGAGACTATCTCTAAGAGGAAATCAGAACCCCAACCCTTGAGAGACAATGACTGGCTAGAGACAAAGAGTGGTTGTGGTATGTAGGGAAAACCAGGTTGAGTTGTGGGCCTGGCTTCCTGAAGGAGTAGAGATGGGGAACTGCTAGGTCCAATTTGGAGTGGGTAAGAGTATGCAGATGGGGCCAAGCACGGTGGCTCACGCCTATAATCCCAGCACTGTGAGAGGCCGAGGCAGGTGGATCACCTGAGATCAGGAGTTCAAGAACAGCCTGGCCAACATGGTGAAATCCCTTCTGTACTAAAAATACAAAAATTAGCCTGGCATGGTGACGTGTACCTGTAGTCCCAGCTACTCAGGAAACTGAGGCAGGAGAATTGCTTGAACCCGGGAGGTGGAGGTTGCAGTAAGCCAAGTTCATGCCACTGCACTCTAGCCTGTGCAACAGGGCAAGAGTCTCAAAAAAATAAAATAAAAAGTATGCAGATAGAGGCAATAGCATAGACAAAGGCCTGAAAACATTATTTGGTATGCTAAAGAGATTAGCCCAGCAGTTTTGTGGGAAGAGGCAGGGGCGGGGGGAGACAGGTATTTAAACCAGCCTGCATTTTAGCCCCAGTTCTGACATGTTCCTGTTGATAACACTGGAGCCACGGAAGGTTCCTGAGTAGGGGAAGAAGACAAGAGCATATGCAAAACCAGTTAGAAGCTGGGGCAGGGGGAAAGGTCTAGCCCCAAGGTGGCCCCAGCTCTGTCCCTCCTCCCCGCAGGATGTGAAAGCCCAGCGCAGCCTGCCCCTCATTGGCTTCGAGGTGGGACCACCCGAGGCAGGGGAGCGGCCTGACAGAAGGCATGTCTTCAAGATTACCCAGAGCCACCTCAGCTGGTACTTCAGCCCTGAGACAGAGGAACTACAGCGACGCTGGATGGCTGTGCTTGGCCGGGCGGGCCGAGGGGACACGTTCTGCCCGGGGCCCACACTGTCTGAGGACAGGGAGATGGAGGAGGCACCGGTGGCTGCTTTAGGAGCCACTGCTGAACCCCCCGAATCCCCCCAGACCCGAGACAAGACCTAGAGGGTTTGGGGCAAACTGGGAGCCCCCACCCCACACTCTAGCTGCCCATGTCTGATTGGGGGCTCTAGCCCCTTCCCTCCCAGCTCAGTCAATACTTGAACTCCCATCACGGGCACTTTCAATCCCGAATGCTGGGTCTTGGGTTTTTTAATTCATCTTTTCACAAAACGTGGGCTTTTAAAAAATATATTCCTACAGTGATGTTAATTTTTATTAATCCGTGTCCCCAGAGAGGGTGGGAGCCATTGCTAGACCCACCTGAATTAGGTCATTTTTCTCCCTCATCCCTCAATACCCTAGCACAGATCCTGCCTCCACCCAATTCCCCACAAAGCACCAGAGGTAGGAGACCTGGATTCAACTGCCAGCTCTGCCACTGACCCTGGGGCCCCGACCCACCCCTGCCTCCTCAGCCAGTGTCTTCACACGTACAACTCCACGTGGGGTGGCAACTAGACCTCTCCTGCCTCTCCCATGGCTTACAGCTTCGACCCGGCCCCAAGGCTACCCAGTATTTTATCGTCCAGACCCATGGCAGGGCCACCGGGCAGGACAGGGGAACGGGGGGAAGACAATGGATACTCGTTTTTTTTTGTTTTTTTTTTTTTTAAAGAAAAATACAGTTTATTTCAGGCTTACAGTAACTTTCATAGCACTGCTGTGCTCCGTTCGTCCATCTGTTTGGTTGTCCGACGTACCAGGCTGCTAGGGTGGGCTCAGAAAACCGCTCCCTTGTAAACTCGGAAGCTCAGCTCCCAGAAGGTGGATTTGAAGGCTACTCCTCACAGGTCAAGCCACAGGTTAAGCAGTAAGGTATTATTTATTAAGATCTTAAGCCTCACTCCTGAACTCAAATGGGATGGGATAAGGAGTAAGGAAAGAGGTTACAGGAGACAGAAAACAAAGCCCAGCCCTTCCAAGCTCACCACCTAGCCAAGGTCTTCGAATTCCTGAGGGAACCCAGGGCTGGAGGCTGGGCTGCAGGAAGGCAGCATTCCTGGGAGGTTCCAAGTTCTGGGCAGGCGTACAGAGTTGTTGCGTGTGTGGGGGGTGGGGTAAGGGAAAGGCTCCAGAGCTACTTTCGTTCACATCTTCACCTATTCTCCCTTCCACTTGCATGTTCATCTCACATTCCTGACCCAGCCAGCCCCCTATCACTGAGTACTGCTGCTGCTGCTGGTCCTGTCCTCCCCAAATCCACCTGCCCACCGTCCACTGGCATCTAGATCCTCCTCCAGCCACACCCACACTCACTCATCCCCTTCCTCACAATGACTGCACCCAAAAGACACTGTACTGGGGAAGCTGGCTTCGTCACTCAGATGTTAACTAAAGGCCCAAGGGAATGTGCTGGACAAGGTCCCCCCACCCCCAAGACCAAGGACCCTAGGGTTTCCTTGCCCTGGAGGGAGCTAGACAGGGGAACAGGGGAGAGGGTAGAGATGGGGTAACCAGTCCACAGGTCTACAATCCTCAAAAAAAAAAAAAAAACCCTACAGACAACTCTCAGAACTAGCAAATAAGGGCCCAAAGCCATTTCCAACCATGCCCACTCATTTTTTTCTCCGGACAATGGTCCAGCCATCTTCCACTATATCCTCTTCCTTAATAGTCTGAGCGTCTGGATCAGAGGGTTCAGGCTGGGAGCAGACCCCATCTGTAGCAGCCCCATCATTCGTAGCTGTGACCTGGAGGGGAGATTTAAAAGAGAGCTGAATACACTGGCCACTGGAGACCCAGGCTCTGCTCCAGTTTTTCCAGGATTGGCTGTGTAACTTTAGGAAACTTCCCTGCCCTCTTTGGATACCACTACTATCACCAACCACCACCATCCCCTTATCACTTCCCTGTGAATCTAGCTGCTCTCCCAGAAAATTGAAAACATCTGCATCCCCAACCCAGGGGGCACCCACTTCACCTCCATCTCTTCCACACTGTCCACATCATCTTCATCCTCATCAGTCTCTTTAGCTGTCTTAAGTGCAGTGGCTGTGACCTTGCATTTTCTTTGAGTGATGCGAGAGGCCATCTCCCTCAGAGCAGCCCCGTCACCCCTCTGGAAGTGGTGGAACATGGTCTGCAGTTGCTGGCTCACCTACCAAGAAAATATTCAACCAGTTTGGATTTTCCAGAGAATCTACTATACAAACAGCCCATTTTGAAGCAACAGTCGGGAGTAGGTTGGATATTTCCAGACGAGAACAGGGCTCTTTCCTCCCCAAGGAATTAACCAATGAAGCAACCACATATGAAGGGCTCAAATGAGGGCCTAACGCATGACATGAGGGCCTAAAGCAGCAAAAGAGGGCCTAACTAGCAGGGAAGGCTCTAGAACTGGGCTTTGAAAGAAAGAAGATGTAAAAGGGCAGGTAATCTTATTGGGGAGCCAAAATGGATCTGGACTGGCCTGACCTGCCCTTGGGATGGGGGTGAGGAACAGGCCTGGATGGGAATGATGTATAGAAAGAAATAAAAGAAGGCAGGGTTTGGAAAGGCCACACTTGTTCCTCTAGGCAACAGAGAGTCACAGTCAAGAGTTTTGGCCCAAAACAGACAGTTGGGGAGAAGAAAGACTGCAGGTAGGGAGACTGCAGTTGTGCCCATGGTAAGCTCACCTGGGGCAGACTCCCATCTTCCACGACTGTATCAAACTCATTGGTCAACAGCTCTCCAAGGAAGTCTTCCACCTCATCTAGCTCCAAGTCAGCTAAGTAGAAAAGGACAGGGCCCTTGAGTCAAAGACCAGCCAACTTCATCACCCCTGCCCACTGCTCTTCAATATCTACTTGGTGGATCTGCAACTTGGGTGGGTAAAGGCACAGTAAGCCTTTTATCTGCTAAAGTGTTCTGCATTCCAGGTTTTAACATAATTTTTTAAGAACCACTAAATATTAATACCTCATTTCCAATCTCTTCCATCCTGCCTTTTATCTGCTAAAGTGTTCTGCATTCCGGGTTTTAACATAAGTTTTTAAAGAACCACTAAATATTAATACCTCATTTCCAATCTCTTCCTACCAAGGCCTCTTTCCACAACTCTTAGCCCTACACTCACCCTCTTTCATCTGGCCTATTCTAACTAGCCTTCCCTCTATGAGACCTTGAGCAAGCTACTTCTTTCTGAGCCTCAGTTTTCTCATCTGTAAAGTGGGGCTAATGGTGGCCTCCTCAAAGGTCTGTTAGGAGGAACCATCCAACACAATGCCTAGCACAGTGAAGATCCATAATCCATGTTAATTTGTGTCATGTAAAAGCTGAAGTTTTTGAAGTGTAGAGAACCTTCACAACTGTGGTTCCACTGATAAAAAGAAGCCACAGACCAATGGGATAGTTAAGAAGAAATGGACATAGTAATTCCAATGATGAAATCACCATAGCCTTGACACTGACATCCTACTGTGTGACTCTGACCGAGCCACCTTCCTCTCTGGGCTTCAGTTACCTATGGGCCTATGCTCTACTTTTTCTGAATTAGAGAGTATCTCAAGAAAGTCTTCCACAAAGCTCCTAGCCCTCTCCCCTCTATGTGCTTTCCCTGGGAGAGCTCATCCACACTCTTGGCTTTGCCTACCACTCAAACTTAATATCCCCCAAATTTATCTCCAACTGAGACTACTCTGTGCCTGAACATTTCACAGATGCCGCAAATCCTCCATATCCAAAGCCAGACTCATCACCTTACTCTTTGAACCTGCTTCGCATCCTCCAGGGTTCCTCTACTCCGTGAAAAGACACCTAATCCACCCATCAACTCAAACCAGGAACTTGCCTCTTTTTCCCTCCCTGCCTACAGCCAACCAATCTCCAAGGTCCTATTCCACCCCTTCTTTTCCATGCCTGTTGCCACTGTCCTACTTCAGGCCTCATCAGTGTCCAGACAAAAACAGCATTCTCATCAGTCTTTCCCTCTCCAGGCTATGCTTCATACTGATTACTTCCTGAACTTTCTAGCCAGCAAATCCCACCCTATTTCTCACCTTAGAACCTGCCCACGAATTTTTACCACCTACTGCAGTGTTTCATAGTTTGCCTTTGAGAAATATCTGTTCTGCTGGGTCTTAAGGGACACTATCCATAGAAAGCTAATGAGAAACAAAAGCAAACAGGTTTTTTAGTGGTTCTTATTCTTACCCAAGCCTTTAATATGTTCATGAGTGTTGAGACTTTTCAGTGGGAGCAGAAGAAAAGAGTTTTTCTTACATAACGTGACTGGAGAAGCTTCTTCACTGAACATCTAACAGGACTAGTTAGCATGAATTTTGGCAAACACTGGCCTAAATGATAAAATCAAAGGCACATAAGGGCTTCCATGTCTTATGCTTTTCAGGGGGGCTTCCCATACCCCAGCTTCATTCTCTACCACTCCTCCACCCACCCCCATGCACACACACCCATACTCCAATACTGAGCTCCCTGCTACTTTCCAAATATAACACATTATACCCTCATGCCACAGAACTTGAGTATTGCTGTCTCTCTGCTTCCCCCACCTAGTTAACTCCTTCTCATTAAGATCCAGCCCAATTCACCACCTCCACTGAGAACCTGTCTCCCCAGCCTGTTACCCCATGCACACTGAGCTCCTCTTTATCAGAAAATCTATCAATGTTGTAACTATTTACGTGTGTGGATCCTCACTGGATAGTATACTTTCTTGAGAGAGATGACTGTGCCTAATGTCATCTCCAAAGCTAGAAATTGAATGAAGGCTTTTTTAAAAACCATACTATGCAACAGGCCCTCTACTGGGCCTCTTGTTCTTGTATATCCCTCAAGACAAGCCTACAGTGAAGATCTTTGCTGTCCAAACAGCCACAGGTGGTTATTGAGGGCTTGAAATATGGCTAGGCCAAATCGAAATGTGCTAAAACTGTAAAATACCAGATTTTGAAAACAATACTAAAAAATGTAAAATATCTCAATGTTTTATACTGATTACATGTTGAAATATTTCGTATACAATGAGTTTACTAACATTGGTTTCATCTGCTTTTTGCTTTATTAAAGTGGCTACTAAAAAATTTAAATTACATGTGACTAGCATAATATTTCTACTGTACAGCGCTGTGGTGGATACTTTTATACGCATTTTAGGAACAAGGAAACGGAGTCTCAGGGAGGTAAATTGCCTTGTCCAGAGTAATCCCACGAGTCAGTGGCACAGCCCGTAAAGCACTGGAATCCAGGATTCTGACTCCAAAAACTGAATTCATTCCACCTCGCCTTTAGGTACCAATCCACAACTGCTCGAGAGGAAATGCAGGCTCTGCGGGATGGGGCTCCTCTCCACACCCCCACACAGGCGGGTCGCAGCGCCTCACATTCACTCACCATTGCGCATGAAGTAATCCTCCACTGCACCCCCCAGCCACTTGGCCTTCTCCTGGCTGTGCACACCCCCGAAGCCATTCTCCACAGCGATCTGTAAACACAGGTCCAAGCCCATCACGTCAACTTGAGAGCAGACTTGGAGTTGCCTGGAGGCCGCTTACGCCGCCCAGCCAACTCCTCTTACGCCGCCTAGCCAAGCCTCGGGCACCTAGCCCAACCAACTCCTGTTCTGCCCCTGGCCCTAACCTTGACCTTGCCCTGGCCCCAACCTTGACCTTGCCCTGGCCCCACTGACCTGCAAGGCCGGCCAGGCCTCCAGGGCCGCGCAGACCCCAGCCCGGAAAAGAGCTCGCGCATCTTCTGCAGCGCCCGCCATTATCCGGCCCCGGTCCACGTGACGTCCCGGCGGCCCAATCCCTCCGTAGCTCGGCCCAGGCAGAATGAGACGCAAGCCGAGCCTGAGAACACAGGATTCTCTTTTCCGCAGACCTGGCAGCAAGACTAGAGCAAAAGAAAAATCTGTCAGAGCGATCAATGACACCACCAGAGTCACTCACTTCAATCAAAGGACACCAGACCTGAAGGACGTGTGGGGCCATGGTTTCCGGATCCGTGGGTACTGCGGAGGAAATATGTGGGGAACTTATTACAGATACAGATTCTAGGCCCTGGGGCAGAGGACTCAGTGAGTATAGCCTTAAAACTCTGCATTTAAAAAAAACATCTTAACATCTGCATAGAATACTGCGAAAAACAACAGTAAAATACAATTAGCTCTCCCTATGGGGGGCGGTCCACATCCGTGAATTCAACCAACCTCAGATGGAAAATGTTCAGGAAAAAAATTGCATCTGCACTGAACATGTACATACTTTTTTCTTGATATTATTCCCCTAAACAATACAGTATAACAACTATATACATAGCATTTACACTTTATTAGGCATTATAAGTAACCTGGAAATTATTTATTTATTTATTTATTTATTTATTTTTATTTATTTATTTTTGAGACTTAGTGTCACTCCGTGGCCCAGGCTGGAGTGCAGTGGCGCCATCTCGGCTGACTGCAACCTCCACCTCCCGGTTTCAAGCAATTCTCGTGCCTCAGCCTCCGGAGTATCTGAGATTACAGGTGCCCACCACCACTCCCGGCTAATTTTTGTGTTTTTAGTAGAGACAGGTTTCGCCATGTTGCCCAGGCTGGTCTCGAACTCCTGGGCTTAATCCACTTGCCTCGGCCTCCCAAATTGCTGGGATTATTTATAGGCGTGAGTCACACCTGGAAATAATTTAAAGCACACAGTAGGATATTCATAGGTTATACGCAAATACTATGTCATTTTATATCAGAGACTTGAGCATCCATGAATTTTGGTGTTCTCCGGAGGTCGTGGAACCAGTCTCCCACAGATACCCAGGGATAACTGTACGTTTTTCTGAAGTGCACAAGAACATTCTCCAGAACAGATCATACACTAGGCCATACAGTAGGCCTCAATAGATTTAACAGGATTGAACATACAAAGTATGTTGTCTGACCACAATGGAAAGAAGTTGAAAATCAGTAAAAATAAACTTACAAAATTCACAAACATGTGGAAATTAACACACTGTTAAGCAACAAATGGGTCAAAGAAAAAAAATCACAAAGAAAATTAGAAAACACTTTTAAATGAATGAAAACAAAATGCATGAGATGCAGCTAAAGCAACACTTAGAGGGAAATCTTTAGTTGTAAACATGCATATTTAAAAAGAAGAGCCGGACATGGTGGCTCATGCCTGTAATCCCAGCACTTTGGGAGGTTAATGTGGGAGGATGACTTGAGCTCAAGAGTTCGAGACCAGCATGGGCAACATAGTGAGACCCCCCCATCTCTAAAAACAATTTTAAAAATTAGGCCAGGTGTGGTGGCTCACGCTTGTAATCACAGCACTTTGGGAGGCCGAGGCGGGCAGATCACTTGAGGTCAGGAGTTTGAGACCAGCCTGGCCAACATGGTGAAACCCCATCTCTACTAAAAATACAACAATTAGCCGGGCGTGGTGGCAAGCACCTGTAATCCCAGCTACTTGGGAGGCTGAGGCAGGAGAATGGCTTGAACCTGGGAGGTGGAGGTTGCAGTGAGCTGAGATGGTGCTGTTGCACTGCAGCCTGGGAGACAGAGTGAGGCTCTGTCTCTAAATAAATAAATAAATAAATTTGAAAACTAGGCCAGGCATGGTGGCTCACACCTATAATTCCCGCACTTTGCGCGGGCAGATCACCTGAGGTCAGGAGTTTGAGACCAGCATGGCCAATATGGACAAACCCTGTCTCTACTAAAAATGCAAAAGTTAGCTGGGCATGGTGACACACACCTGCAATCCCAGCTACTTGGGAGGCTGAAGCACGAGAATCGCTTGAACCCGGGAGGCAGAGGTTGTAGTGAGCTGAGATCACTCCACTGCACTCCAGCCTGGGTGACACAGTGAGACTCTGTCTCAAACAAACAAACAAAATTAGATGAGCATTGTGGCATATGCGTGTAGTACCAGCCACTCAGGAGGCTGAGGTGAGAGGATGGTTTGAGCCTGGGAGTTCAAGCCTGCAGTGAGCCGTGATTGTGCCACTGCACTCCAGCATGGGGGACAGAGCAAGACCCTGCCTCAAAAAAATAAAAATGAAAGAATGATATCAAATTAATAACCTATGCTCCCACTTCACGAAACCAGAAAAAGAAGAGCAAAGTAATCCCAAGGCAAGCATAAGAAAGGAGATAATAAATATTAGAACAGAAATAAATGAAATAGAGAATTGAAAAACAATAGAGAAAAGAAAGAACAGTGAAACCAAAAGTCAGTTGTTGTTTTTGTTTGTTTGTTTGTTTGTTTTTAGAGGGAGTCTGGCACTGTCACCCAGGCTGAAGTGCAGTGGTGCAATCTCAGCTCACTACAACCTCTCCCACGTTCAAAAGAGTCTCCTGCCTCAACCTCCAGAGTCGCTGGGATTACAGGCACATGCCACCATGCCCCTCTACTAAAAATTTTTGTATTTTTAGTAGAGACAGGGTTATACCATGTTGACCAGGCTGGTCTCGAACTCCTGACCTCAAGTGATCTGCCCACCTCAGCCTTCCCAAGTGTTTGGATTAGAGGCGTGAGTCACCGGACCTGGGTGGTTATTGTTTTTTAGAGATGAAGTCTTTTTTTGTTGCCCAGGCTGGAATGCAATGGCACAAACATTGCTCACTGCAGCCTCAAACTCCTGGGCTCAAAGGACCCTCCTGCCTCCGCCTCCTGATTAGCTGGGACTACAGGAATAGGCCACCCTGCCTGGGTAGTGTGTGTGTGTGTGTGTGTGTGTGTGTGTGTGTGTGTGTGTTGGGAGGAGGTGTCTCACTTTGTTGCCCAGGCTGGTCTTGAACTCCTGGTTTCAAGCGATCCACCTGCCTCGCCTCTCAAAATCCTGGGATTACAGGCGTGAGCAACTGCACCTGGCCAAGTCAGTTATTTGAAAAGATCAACAAAATTTACAAACCTTTAGCTAGACTGAGGAAGAAATAAAAGAAAGAAGACTCAAATTACTGAAATCAGGAATGAAAGAGGACGTATAATTACCGACCAGTCAAAAAAGACCACATATTGTATGATACCATTTATATGAAATATACAGAATAGGTAAATCTATAGAGACAGAAAACAGATGAATGGTTGCCCAGGGCTTGGATGGGGAAAGAACAGAGTGTGACTTCTGAATGGCTTCAGGGCTACTTTTGGGGGTGTTGAAAGTGTTCTAAAAATTAGATGAGGTAATGGTTGCTGTTATGAGCTAAATTGTGTCCACCACCCCCCAAATTCATATGTAGAAACCCTAATCCCCAGTACCTCAGAATGTGACCGTATTGGGAGATAGAGCCTTTAAAAAGGTAATTAAGGTAAAATGAGGTTGTATGGGTGGACCCTAATCCATTATGACTGATGTCCTTATAAAGAAAGGGAGATTAGAACTCGGTGCAATGGCTCAGATTGCTTGAGGCCAGGAGTTCAAGACCATCCTGTGCAACGAAGCAAGACCCCCATCTCTACAAAAAAAAAATTTTTTTTAATTAGCTGGGTATGATGGCTATAGTCCCAGTTACTCAGGAGGCTGAGGAGGGAGGATCACTTGAGTCCAGGAGATTGAGGCTGCCGTGAGCCATGATTGTACCACTGCACTCCAGCATGAACGACAGAACAAGCCCCGTCTCAAAAACAAAAAAACAACAAAATATAATAATAAGAGGAGATGAGGACACAGGCAAAGAGGGACACCAGAGAGGTGTATACACTGGGACAACTATGTGAACACACAGTGAGAAAGCTAAGGAGAAAGCCAAGGAGCAAATCAGAAGAAACTATACTAAAAGCCATTGAATTGCACACTTTACTTATTTGTTGATTTATTGATGAAAGTATTTCCTTAAAATTAGAAATCTAATTTACAAATTACAAATTTTTAAAAACTGACAAATGTCACAAACATCTTCTAACCCAGAAAAATAAAATGTTATTTTGTTTTGGTTTTGTAGAGGCAAGGTTTCACCATGTTGGCTAGGTTGTTCTCAAACTCCTGACCTCAGGTGAGCCGCCTGCCTCAGCATCCCAAAGTGCTGGGATTACAGGCGTGAGCCACCATGCCCGGCCAAAATAAAATACTCTTATTAATTACCTGATTCACCTCTCTACTAATTTTTCTACATTTTTTGATATCAAAGAGTTTATAGAACTCTTCATATGACAAGTATTTTATATTTTCTAGGGAGAACACAAAGAATTCAATTGATTTCAATTCAGTTGAGTAAAATTTTTTATTATTGGTATTTTAGAGAAGTTTCAATTTCACAACTCATTATTAGTAATGTACATTTTAAGCTTTTTGTCAAACTTGGGAAAATTTCTAGTTTCTTTTACATGTGAGCTGTAAGATTTCAGGTTATTTTAACTTCTCTTGCTCAGTGACAAATCTTAAACACTCTTTAAATAGACCAGGCTCAATAACCAAAGACCTGGAAGTGGCCTGTGCAAGTGTGGGGCCCTGAGGCTTAAGACTGATTAGTT